GGGCTTCTGAATCCTCCACCAGGCCACATTTCACTCTTTGTCCAGCACCTCCACCCTCCCAGCACTGCAAAGAAAAAGCTTTTCTCCCGGTAATTTCTTTTCTTTTTTTTTTTTTTTGTTGGTCATGGGGCTTGGACTCTGGGCCTGGGTGCTGTCCCTGAGCTCCTTCAGCTCAAGGCGAGCGCTCTATCACTTTGAGCCACAGCGCCACTTCCAGTTTTCTAGTGGTTTATTGGAGATAAGAGTCTCACGGACTTTCCTGCCCAGGCTGGCTTTGAACCGTGATCCTCAGATCTCAGACTCCTGAGTAGCTAGGATTACAGGCATGAGCCACCAGCATTGGGCTCTTTACTATGGTTCTTTGATTTTTTTTTTTTTTTTTTGGGTCCGGTCGTGGGGCCTGAACTCTGGGCCTGGGCACTGTCCCTCAGCTCTTCAGCTCAAGGCTAGCGCTCTACCACTTGAGCCACACACCACTTCAGGCTTTTTTCTTTTTGCTTATGTGGTGCTGAGGAATCGAACCCAGGGCCTCATGCATGCAAGGCAAGCGCTCTACCACTGAGCCACCTTCCCAGCCCTACTATGGTTCTTTACTATAGTTTGCTCCTCCCTTATCTTGGCCAATCACTCAAAACCTTCTACCGTGAATGGCCTGCCCTGACTACCCTATCAAAATTAGTCTCCTTTAGCACAGTGTGGTAGGACACACCTTTAGTCCCAGCTACTAGGGAAGTGAGAAGATCTCTTGAATACAGAAGTTCAAGTACAGCCTAGTCACTATGGTGAGACTCCATCTCAAAAATAAAGTAAAATGAATGGGTAAACAAATGCAGTGGTACTCATTAGACACTATGTTGAGAAATGAACTATGTTGAACTATGAACTTGTGGGCAGGGATGGGAGGGAAAAATGTGCTCATTACCTGACTTATGTAACTATAACACCTTTATAGTAACAATTTTTAAAAATAGTTTTATAGGCTGGGAATGTGGCTTGCTTGTAGAGTGCTTGCTTAGCATGCATGAAGCCCTGGGTTCCATTCCACAATATCACACAAAAGTGGTATGTGGCTCAAAAGGTAGAGTGCTAGCCTTGAGCAAGAAAAAAACAAAACAAAACAAACTCAAGGATAGTGCCCAGGCCTGAGTTCAAGCTCCAGGACTGGCAAAAAAAAAAAGTTTGGGGGCTGGGAAGTTGGCTCAGGGTTAGAGTGCTTGCCTCACATGCATGAGGCCCTAGGTTCGATTCCTGAGCACCATATAAGCAGAAAAAAGGCAGAAGTGGCACTGTGGCTCAAGTGGTAGGGCGATCGCCTTGAGCTGAAGAGCTGAGGGACAGCGCCCAGGCCCAGAGTTCAGGCCCCATGACCAACCAAAAAGAAAAAAAATTTTTTTATACACACACACACATACATAAAGTAAAATGGGGCTGGAAACATGGTTCAAGTGGTACAGCACTTGCCTGGCAAGTTCAATACCCTGAGTTCAAAGCTCAATACCACCAAAAATATGTGTTTCCTTGTTTCTGTTCTCTACCTCCACACCTCTCTTTCTCTTGCTGTTGCTACAAACATCATAAAAACAGTGGCTTTCTCTGTCTAAGTCCATAGGTCTATCCTGAGGACTTCAGAGAAACTCAGAACAACCAATAAAGATTTTGAGAATAAATGATTTCACTGACCAGTGGCTCGACACTGAAAGAAGACAAAGTTCCAGGCACCTGCACTAGATATTTTACATGCATTGTAATATTCAATTCTCCATGTGTTTTCTGAATGAGAAGCATCTGGTAGATAGTACAGATGTCCCTTGCTATATCACAGTTCACTTTCAGCTTCATTGTATTGCAGATTTTTTTTAAAAAGTAAATACTGATCCCTTACCTATTGCAGGAGTTACATTCCAGAGATCTCACAATAGGTGAAAATCCACCAAGTAGCAACAAGTGAACCTTGTAGCAAGGGCCAACTATCTAATACAGCTACTTGGCAGATGTGCAACTATCATGGGGGTCTCTGGAACATAACTCCTCTGATAGGTGAGGGATCACTGTAAAGCCTTTTGAGGGCTATGGGTGTGGCTTAAACAGCAGAGTGCTCCCAAAGAGTCTGAGGCCCTGAGTTAAAAAACTCTAGTACCACCTGAAGAAAAAAAAAAAAAAAAAACGTTTTAAGTAGAATCTCTTGAGAGAGGGATATGCATTCAAACCCAGACCTGACTCTAGATTCTAATGTTTTATTGTGGTAAGTAGAAAAGTAAAGACAGACAATAACCCAGACTGAGGAAAACACAGTAATTAGAGTGATCACACATTAAACTCCCAAGTATACATCCAGGACGGGAAAAAGCATACTTATTATCACAGTGGCTCCCTGCTCAAATGAGAAGGGCCATGGACAGGCAATTTCTTTACTCCCTAGTACTCAGTTTTTACATTTGCCAAGCAAAAAGATTATGTGAACTCAGCCAGGCATGGTGGCTCACACCTGCAATGCCAACTCTCAGTAGGCAGATTTGGGAAGGATCAGTGTTTGAAACCAGCACAGACATAAAGTTATCAAGAGCACAGCTCAACTGGGATAACATCCCAGCTACCGAAGGCCCAGCAGAATTGTGGTCCAAGTTCAACTCCAGGGAAAAAAGATCAAATAAGCTGGTGGCTAACACAATTCTAGCTACTAAGGAAGGTGAAATCTGAGTACTGAAGCCAGCCGTGGCAGGAAAGTCTATGAGACTCTTATCTCCATTAACCAGCAAATACACAGAAGTGGAGCAGTGGCTCAAGTGGTAGAGAGCCAGCTTGAGCAACAAAGCTCAGGGTCCGTGCCCAGGCTCTGAGTTCAAGCTCCAGGACCAGCACGTGTGCACACACCCACACATGCGCACACACACACACACACACAAATAATGCAAAAATGTCTTGGGGTGTGGTTCAAGTGGTAGAGTGCCTGCCTCGAAAGTATCAGACCCCGAGTTAAAACCCCAGTGTTGTCAAATATATAACTGTGTACTCAAAGAAAGTTGAGTTCATCACTTTAATAGTACTGTGAATATTGCAATTAGTATCTCATCACTCAATACTGAGTATCCATTATAGCCCACATTGGCTAATTTGAAGCCATTTAACTAAACCACACAAATCCTTTCTATTCAAAATTCAAATCTTGCCAGCAATGTGGTACACACCTGTAATCCCAGAACTTAGGAAGGTGAGGCAGGAAAATTCCAAGCACAAGGCCAACCTGCACTAGCTAACAAGACCCTGTTTCAAAATAAAACTTTCTTGAGATTTTTTTCTCAAATTATCTCTTTATAACAGATATTAAGTACCTGGTTATCCATAAACTATTGCATCTTATTTCGGGGTTCCAAAAACCACATTATTTCTATTTTTCTAGTTCTGTGTATATTCCAAACACAACTAGTTTTCAGGATAAAAATCTTTGGGGCTGGGGGCTGGGAAGGTGGCTCAGTGATAGAGCACTTGCCTTGCATGCATGAGGCCCTGGGTTCCATTCCTCAGCACCACATAAGCAAAAAAGAAAAAAGCCCGAAAAAAAAAAAAGAAAAGAAAAAAGCCGGAAGTGGTGCTGTGGCTCAAGTGGTAGAGCGCTAGCCTTGAGCTGAAGAGCTGAGGGACAGCGTCCAGTCCCAGAGTTCAGGCCCCACAACCAGACCCAAAAAAAAAAAATCTTTGGGGCTGGGAGTGCAGCTCATGGAGAGAATGCTGGATGTCCTAAATTCACTCCCCAGTAAGGGAAGGGGGAGATAAAAATCTCTTCCTTGGGCTGGGAAGGTGGCTTAGTGGTAGAGTGCTTGCCTTGCATGTAAGAGGTCCTGGGTTTGATTCCTCAGCACCACATATGCAGAAAAAGCCAGAGGTGGTTCAAGTGGTAAAGAGCTCGCCTTGAGCTGAAGATCTGAGGGACAGTGCGCAGGCCCAGAGTTCAGGCCTATGACCCACCACACACACACACACACATACACACACACACACACACACACAACTTTCTTTTCCCGACTAAGCACTTTTAATAAGTTATGGTCTTTAGTGACATCATATTATCACTGATGAACAGGGACCAGTCAGAACTTTAAACAATGAACAACAAGAAATGCTTGCTCCTGACAGCTGGGACCAACCACACACTGAATTGACCTTACTTTTTACAAAAAGAACAGTTACAAGACCAGGCTGTGGTGGCCCACGCCTGTAGTCCTGGCCCTCAGCATGATCTCCTGGCCAGCTTGGGCTACAGCAAAACCCTGTCCCCCAAAAATAAAAAATAAATAAAAAGGTGTGATTTGGCTCAGCCCAGTAACTATTCTTGCCATAAGCATGATGACCACAAGATAAGCAAACGTCAGACCAGCAGCGGTCACCTTCCCATTATCCCAAGTCGAAATCGGGAATAGACAGAACACACACGCTGCACACAAACACAATGGGGGGATGAGACCACAAGTAACTGGAGCAAATCCCTGGATGGAGATCACTCTAGAAACGCAATCCAGCTTGGGCGCTCCGAGCCTTCCCCTCCTCTGACCTCGGGGCATCCTTTGCAAAGAGAGCCACACCTCACCTGCGAAGTCCAACTTCCGAGAGCCCACGCCGGCCGCTCAGAGTCCAACCCCCCCCCACGCCCCACCAG